TGCAAGTACCATGCTAATTTCACCAACCACCCCCAAATACTGGAGACGCCACAATATCAGGAACCAGACTGAAACATATATGAAGTAATGAAAGAATATCAATGGTCGCATCGTCAAATATGGCACAAGAACCAGATTTTTGACACCTTCAATTCTTGACCCATTAAGGCTTATGCTCTCTAGACTTGTTCGAACATTGGGCTAGGCTTTAAAAAGGTTGGTGGGAAATCGCAGCGCTCAAGCCCACTCAAAGCTCGATGCCATATGCTGAATTTTGAATCCAACACACACTCGTTAAGAGCCATTTTTATCGATCAAGGCCAAGTATTTTTCAAACTTTAATTCTCAAATGCAAAAATGGAAGCAAGAGGCCACCCGTTGTTGTAGTGCTCGCTGGATAATGAAGCATTATCCCACCCAAAGTTGTTTTCGAGCTAGGCCTAGGCGGGCTAATGCTCTCCATGTCCATCAACCCATGGATAGACCGAGTTGTAGCCAATGCTAAAATCATCATGGGTAATAAGTTATATACTGGACATCAGTGATGGATCCATGGGTTCATTTATTTCGACTAAAATCATAGAGGACCACTAGATTTATTTGGCTAAAACCTATAATGGACTGCTTGGTTACTTGAGGAACGGGCCCTTGGTCTTTTTTGCCACCGGAGAGCTCAATTAACAGTGCAATGACACATTTTTCATGTAGTTAATTATTCCTTATATACATTTCTTAATTTTGAACAAAACAACACCAACGATTCAGTTATTTTAATTCCCATCTTTCCTAATAGAATTTTTGTAATAGAGCTTAAGGTCCTCTTGATCATGTATTGGCGCATGTGGCGCTGATGTGTGCCAAGCTCTTTTTTAGTGAGATACAAAATATGTGGTGCTTTGTGAGAAGCTATGCGCTAATTAAAACATGCATGGTGTATTGTGAAAGGAGCCCTAATAAGTAATAACCGGCGCAATAGTACAACATACGCCAAAATGGCCTCCAAACATCAAAGCCAAAATTCTGCCTTTTGGCAAACAAATAAAGTCAGGTTGCTGTCGACAAGCAGACACTTTTACTGGACAGTGCAAGGGCACTGATGGACATTTTCCATATGGAGCACTAACATGTTTCTCGTGTGGATGCCTCCTAGGTTGGTAGCACACCTTCAGTTTCCACCTCTAGTTTAAAGGGGCGACAGACTTTAAACTAGCTAGCTTTTATTTGTGCTTAGAGAGTCGCCCATGATAGGCTACACATTGGATTTTCTTTCGTGTACTGATGCTGAACTGAGGATGCTGCTGCCTGCGTCCTGCTGCTGCTGTCTCTCTCGGTCAGCTCCTGCCTCCTGGCCTCCTAGATAGTCGTCCCAGCCCCAGCTGCAGGTTAGCAAGCTGCTGCTGGTTTCCTACCAGCTTGGCTCCACTCCACTCACTCACTAATCTCTCAAGTGTTTTGACTATTGCAGCAGAGGTATCATGGATCATTCTTTGCCGCCTGTATGTGTACGTTGCTTTCCATCGGCGCACGGCAGCGCAGTGGTAGCAGTCCAGCGGACAAAATATATATGTATGGTGTGGGAATTAACGCGTATGAATTGAAGACGACGACGAGACTTTGACAGGTCATGCATGCATATAGTCTATAGACATCCCAGTTGTAAAGTCTGGCGAAAGCCGGTAGGGTAGGCAAGGCTCCTCTCTATCTGAAGATCTGAAATCCAGTGGCGTCGTACATGCTGCAAGTCAACCATGTCTGCTTACGGCTGCTGCTGGATGATCTCGATCGAACTGGAAGCATGGCTGTGTCTGTCTACTATACTAATTAGCCAGCAAGCTATACACTACTACAAAATAATTTTGAGACAACCTCTTTAATTTACAAAGGCAACCTAAAAGTGTTCCAATCGCGGAATATCAAGCAATTTTAAACGTGCTCAGCCCATTTATAGAGATAGCCCAATAAAAAAAAACTACCACAAAAAAGATTGTAGGAGACAGACAACCGAAAATCAATCAATATCGAATTTCAAACACGCTCTACCCATTTATAGAGATAGCCCAATAAAATATACTATCACAAAAAAGATTGTAGGAGACAGACATCTAAAAAGCAATTAACATCGAATCTCTTAAGAGATACTCCCTCCGTCCCTAAAAAAATCATTCTCACTTCCAAAAAGTCAACAACTTTTATCTTTGATCAAATATATTTAACAAAATATTAATATTTATGGTATATAATTAGTATCATTAGGTAGATTGTTGAATATAGTTTTATAATAAATTTATTTGGAGATATAAATGTTGCACACATTTTCTACAAACCTAGTCAAAGTTGAGAAAGTTTGACCAGCACGATTCCCATAACGACTCTTTTTTAGGGACGGAAGGAGTATAACCTATTTTTAGAGACAGGCCTCTTAAAGGCCCACCTCTAAAATAGGCCTAGATCCACTAGCGCTCGTCTCCACCATGACGCAACCTCTCCCAATGCTAGCACTCCGATCCCATATTCTCTCCCAACGTCATGGCAGCCATGGTGGTGCGTTCCCACTGCAGCCTGCAGGAGGCGGGTCTGTTGGAACCTTGGTCCTCCAATGAAATCCCCAACCTCGATCCATTTCATCGATCCTCGACCGTACCCCAGATCCAAACTCATCGATGGGGAAGGAGGGCATAGTGGATCTACCATGTAAGTCGATGACAAGCTCCCTGCGACTCTAGAAGCACCTGCCCAATCACGATAGCATCCAAATCCAGTGAACTGGTCCCTTATCTCTCTCTCTCTCTCCCCCCTCTTCCTCTCTATTAACAATCAGTTCTATGTAAGTCTTGACTGCTTCCCCATGCATGTGTAGCTAACTCAGTGTTAGTTTCTTATGCAGTTAGATCGATCGTGGCTAACATCCTATGTTTATAGGCCTTGTCATCCTATAAATGTACACCAAACTCATCAATAAAGTCTTGTTTTGTCAATAGTTCCTACATTTGCCATCATAATATCAATATAGGTTCTGATATCCACCTACACCTCCACTGCCCTCCATCTCTCAGCCTCCATGAGATGTTCGCATTTCCAATTCACTGGCAGGTGATGGCAAGAAAGGAGGAAAGGAAAGCGGTCGAGGAGTTAATCCTGGAGCTAAAGAACGGCCTAACAAGATGGTGAGATGCACATGAAGAAGGCGGTTCATACATGTAGCCAATTCATCATGTTTCTAACACTTATCTATGATGAATTATGCTAAATTGTCATTAAGTTTCATATGTGACGCGACAAACATGACGGCAAATATTTTGTCATAACTTCATCACAGATGATTTTCAATGACAATATTGGCATTTACTATGACAAAAATGATTCATTATAAATATAGATTTTCTAGTAGTTTCTTGTGCTCCAGAGGAAGTTGTAATACGCAGATTGGTTGTTATTTCAAGACTATAAAGCAGGGTAGTTATTTTCTGGTAGTGGAGGTTAGAAGGGATAATAGTCTTAGTCCCCTTCATGAACTTGGCCAAGGCCTATTTTAAAGCTTTCTACAAAAGTTGGCCAAGGCCTCTGGTCTAAAAAAAAGGCTTTTCATCACCCGGCCTATATGTGAAAGATTTACTGTGGTAATGATAGCTATCTTTTAAGAAAAACCTTCATATCAATTTTATGGATAATCAAAATAAGTTGCATCGCCATCTATCTTACTATAGTAAAATAAGTTACTATAGCTAGATTTTGTTTTTTCATGTAAAAAATAATTAGGTCAGCGATCCTTAGAATCTAAGGGTCGCTGGCCCAATTACAATTATTTTTTTACATGAAAAAATAAAATCTAGCTATTAACTTTTACATGTGCCACTTCATTTGCTTCTCTTTTAAAGGGGGTGAAGTCCTCAAACTCTTCCAATCTTCAATTTATATTAATCAATTTGATCGACCAGCTTTAGTTTTTAATCCTATTTTTAGTGGTTTGATCAGTGAATCGACTCCCTTCATTTCCTAACCGTGTCATGGAGATCACATGCAGTAGTGCAACGCAAAGTTGATGAGCTGCTCATATGCTTGTTCAAAGTCATTGTACAAACACCTTTTATGCCGATGCATGTGCCTGCTAAACGTAACCAAAAGGTGCTACTTATATGCTATATATATTGTGTGCAGCAGAAAAGTGATGAACACACACAGCTGTATCTAATTTAATATAGGAGGTGCTTTGGTGGTGGGGGGGGGCGGGCTGATTGAACCCACTGTAGCACGCATAACAAACGTAGTGTGATCTTTTCAGGGTTTTTTTGGTTCCCTTTTATTCTTGGGCCAGTCTAGATAATAACACCACCTGCTCTTTTTTAGATTTATTTATTTCTTACCTTCTATTTTTCAGATGTGATTTAGTGGTATTATCCTTTTGGTCTTCTTATTACATACTCCCTCCAATCCGTCCAAAAAAGAATGACGCTACGGGGTTGATGCCGGTCAAACCTTTTCAAATTTGACTCGATTTGTGGAGAATATTAACAATATTTGTATCTCCAAATAAGTTTATTGTGAAAATATATTCAATGATTCATCTAATGATACTAATTATACATCATAAATATTAATATTTATTTATATATATTTAGTCAAAATTGAGATGGTCTGACTTCTAGGGAAGTGAGAATGTCATTCTTTGTGGGATGGAGGGATTACAACATGTAGGAATATAATTTCAGCATCTTGCGCCCATCGTATGGTTGTATATCTAGCATTAACAACATATATATCCTCTCTTTTTCTCGCATGTATGTCTATCTCTTCTGCATCATCATGAAAATTCCAACGTGGCAGTAGTATTAATCACCTCGTCAGCACTAGATAAGTACGCAGGTTACATGCAGTTTAATTACCAAGCTAACAGTGTAGTAACGACACCATATGCATGCTGTGCAAAACTAAACACGTACGACGGAGACGTGTACTCGTGTCATTACACGTAGACTCATATACCATCACTGAAGACAAGCTAGCTAGCCACTGCTGTTGGAGGCGCGCGCGATGATGTCGAGCGCGACGGAGCAGAGCTGCCTGAGCGTCTCCTCCCTCGCCGCCAGCTCCGGCGGGTACTGTGCGGACCTTAGCCGCCGGAACAGCGCCTTGCACACCTGCGGGTACTCGGCGGCTGCGCTCACGTGCACAGACGCGAAGTCATAGTCTTGCTGCGCGATGGAGTCGCCGGCGGCGGCCAGCGCGTCCCGGGCCTGGCCGTACTTGGCGGCACACGTGCGGAGCAGCGCCGTGGCGCCGGTGGCCGGGGCCGCCTGCGCGTTGGACGACGACGTGGCGGTGCCGTTGGCGAGCGCCGCGGCCGTGGCGGCGCCGCCCGAGGCGTTGGCGGCCGCCGCGGACACGGCGATGGTGGAGAGCCCGCGGACGTCCGCCGTGGCGCTGGACGGGTCGGCGCCCAGCGCGGACACGCACAGGTCGTAGTAGGCCGTGGAGTTGCAGGTGCTGCGTACTAGCTCCGCCGTGGTTGGTTGAGGAGGTGACGAGTGCTTGGGGGTGCCGTGGCCGGCGTGGCCGTGGTGCTGCACGGCCGTCGGGCCGGAGCGAGAGCCAAGGGCGCTGAAAGGGAGCAGGGCCAACAGGATAAGCACCACCATTGCCATGTTATGATGATGATGATGAGCTTGATCTTTTCTAGTTTGTGTGTGAGAAGACTCTGATGATGACTACTGATGAGGTTGTATTATATATATGGGAAGCTTCTGTATGTGTGTTTTTCAATTCTCTTTGGTATGGCTAGTGTCGATTGGATGAGAAGATGATGATGAGTTGTGGGTTTGTGTTGGAGAGCAGGGAGGGAGGGTTTTTATAGGAGGTGAGGATTGTTGGCTGTCAATGTTGACTCCAACAATGCAATGCAAGTGGAGTGGAGGAGTCCACCATGACCACCATGCCGTGTACACTTTCTTCACTCCCTTAGTGCCTAACCAGCTACTATCTAGCTTTTTATATTATTAGACAAAATCTTAGTTAGGATATGATATAGTATATAGGTTCTCTCTACTAATTATATATACTGTTTCCCGGCCTACACCTCTGGCAATGGAAATGGAAAATTTATCTGATTATGCGTGCTTACTATATATTCATGAATATATATATATATATATATATATATATATATATATATATATATATATATATATATATATATATATATATATATATATATATATATATATATATGACTTATTTCAATTCAGAAAGCAAGCAACAAATTGGAAATTAAAGTGGTATATATACAGTGATGGATATATAGAAAGAAGTATATTACTAGTATATGATAAGTACTCCATATATACCATGTCGAGGTTTCACGCTTGCAGAGATTATATATAAATGCAATGCACACCACTAAGAAAATAAATGAAATGAAAAGACAACCGTACCTTTTGGCAAGCAAGGTCAAGTTGCTCTCAGTCTCAGCAAGCATTAGGCATCATCTATCCACTGTTACTTGACAATGTCAGGGCACTTCAATTTGTTATCACACACGTACAGTATGCTACTACTCCATAGTTTCTTTCTTTCTTTCTTTCTTCCAGATCATTATTGCTAATACACTACACGTCCGTCTTTCTCGTGTGGATGTGCCTCCTAAGTTAATCAACAATGATAGTATAGTATAAGCTAGCGCTTAGTAGCACGTTAATATAATTACCTCTCCACTTAAGCTAGCGCTTAGTGTTTATTATTAGATCGGTGATAATTTTGCATAAATAAATATTAAAAGGAATTTTAAGGTGATTTAATATGTATTCCCTCCATTGCAATGTAAATTGTACTTCCTCCGTCCCAAATTAAAAAAACTCGACCTGCGGGGGTAAGACAGCCCCAGGCATTGTGTTTTAGAAAAAGACCTTCTCACGCAGGTCGAGAAAACCCCCAAACCTCTACCCCACCCATACACAGCGGCACCGCAACTCTCGTGAGACTGTGCTGGCCTTAGACCTGTGCTTTGGCGTGGGGCAAACGAGGGGATTTTTTTCAACGCGCAAATAAATTGCGTCTCCTCCGGTCAACAAATCCGCCCTCGAGGGGGTTCGAACTCTGGCCGACAGGGTGCAAAGCGCACAGTCAGACCAACTGGTCTAGCGTTCGCTTGCCTCCGTCTCAAATTATAAGATGTTTTCTAAACATACCATATATCTAGGTGTGTAGCAAAGGCTATGAATCTAAAACAAAAATTTCTTATAATTTGAAATAGAAGCAGTAAATCATTTTACTTTTGTCCTAAATTAAACATGTCTATTTATATGCAACGTCAAACAAGATTTCGAATGATACTGAGTACAAATAAATTATTTCATAAAATATTGCTTATATATTTCAAGTGTTTATTTGTAACATTTAATATATAATCATATAGTATTATTTATTATTAAAATGGCTGTATTAGGGGGCCCAGATTGCGTGTGCCGCTCCAAGCCCTGTAAAACACCGGCACTGGTCGAGGTTTCACGCTTGCAGAGATTATATATAATTGCAATGCACACCACTAAGAAAATAAATGAAATGAAAAGACAACCGTACCTTTTGGCAAGCAAGGTCATGCAAGTTGCTCTCAACAAGCATTAGGCATCATCTATCCACTGTTACTTGACAATGTCAGGGCACTTTAATTTGTTCTCACACACGTACAGTATGCTACTACCCCATAGTTTTTTTCTTTCTTCCAGATCATTATTGCTAATACACTACACGTCCGTGTTTCTCGTGTGGATGTGCCTCCTAAGTTAATCAACAACGATAGTATAGTATAAGCTAGCGCTTAGTAGCACGTTCAATATAATTACCTCTCCACTTAAGCTGAATTAGCACTAGTGCTTAGTCCATGATAGCCTATTTATTTGCGTGTCCCCTAGCCAATCAACTGCAGTAGAGATGCACAAATCCAAAACGAAGATGTTGCGCGTCGCGCGAGCTGTTGCCCCCTGGTATTTGGGGGAAAATCGATCGATTGAGATGTTCTTCATCGAGACGTATCCATATGCAAGCATCCAAACTCATGTACTTCCTGTATGGTTTTCTAGCTAATCGGTTAGAAATAAATAAATAAATAAATAAATAAATAAATAAATAACTAGCACTCTCTGTCCTAAATTATAGACCGTTTGGACTTTTGTAGGTATATGATTTTTGCAATATATCTAGATATACGATATGTCTAGATACATAATAAAAATTATGTATCTAGAAATGTTAAAAACGATCTATAAATTGAAATGGATACACACCCAAGAAAGCCGCTAACACTACTGGTTTCCTACCTGCTTCACTATTGGTCGGTCAATGCTCACCATTGGCCCGGTTTGCTTCACTGAAAAACCAAGCCGAAACACTATTTCGATTGATTTGTTGTGAAAGAAAAATATTGTTCCAATTGAAAAAACAAGTTGAAAAGGACGGATTATAAGAGAAGCGAACAGGGCCAATATCGGCCCCGTTCGCTTCGCTGAAAAAACAAACAGAAACACTGTTTTGGCTGATTTGTTGTGAGAGAAAAATAATGTTTTAACTAAAAAATAAGTTAAAAAATATGGATTATAGGACGAGTTGGCCATCGTGTGTAGGTATGTAGGAGTAGGACTTTGACTAATGCATGCATATCCGTTGCTTTTGCATCGGACTTTATTTAGCTTTTGGATGGGTCATGCATGCCGCAGTGTAGTAGTGGCAGTGGAGCGGACAAACGAATAGTATATACATGGTGTATGTAGTGCAAATGAAACGCGTATGACGACGACGAGACATAGATGCACATCATCTGCTCCCTCTGTCCAACATAACATACAACTATAGATTACGTGCCAAAAAAAAATAGTTTCTATTTAACCAAATTTCTAGTAAATAGTATTCATATTTATAATTTTAAATTAATTTGGTGTAAAAATACATTTCTTAATTAATCTAATGATATTTATTTGATATCATAAATATTGATATTTTTTATCTATAATTAGTCAAGCTTAAGATATAAAACATAATATTGTTCTAGAATTGCATGTTTTCTTAGACGGATGGAGCAATTCATATGTGTATATATTAAATCCGGCAGCGGTAGGGTTCCTCTCAAACATAATCTAAATCTATCCGGCGGTGGCAGTGCAACTCTGAACAAACGAAATCTCTCGAAATCCGTAGCTGCTTCTGCACACCTATACTCGATCGATCTTTGTGACAAAGCATCTATGTACGCACCCTTATCTTTTATGATGATGATAATCTAGAAACATACGATCAATTGTACAATTTTCTTTTTAATCGTCGATAGATTACACCACATAAAACCTAACTAACTAATCAAATATAAAATGTACATAATTTCCTTATTAATTAGCTAGCAAATAGTTATATCATGCCTAACCTGTTCAAGCATCAGGTAAAACCGAAAAAACCCACCTGAGACCGACCCAAGCACAGCATCGGCTCAACTGTTTTAGTGGCCTGTTCGGATGTTGTCGGATTCACTCCAATCCACATGTGTTAGGGTATACTGGGGTGGAATTTAGTTCAAGTTCCACTCCATCCACCCCAATATATGTGGATTGACGTGAATCCGATTACATTCAGGGTCTCACTTGAACATGTGGATCGATGTGAATCCAATTACATCCAAACAATGACTCATTTGGTTTGTTCTCCTTTATTTTTTTTGTGTTATTGGGATTGGTACTATTATATTTTTCAGAACTTTGAGATATACCATTAAAATTCACCTATTTTGAGATTTACCATTATAATTCAATGTTTCACTGAGTTTTGCCATTTTATACGTCTTCCAGTTACTTGGGCCCACTGGCAGGCGTATGCGTACAACTCACTTTTCTATATGGACGTATTTGCCCCTGTCCCGAAGTTGAAAGAGGCCTGCGCCCATGGCCCCATCTCTCAGTCTGTTCTTCCTCCTCACGCTCACTCTGTCTCTCACTCTCTCATCCTCCCAAAGCGGCGACGACGGCGGAACCCTAACCCTAGTCGTCGGCGTCCTGGAGCCCGTGCCCGCGCCCGAGTCAACTGCCACCGCTGCCCAACTCCACTGCCACCCACGCCCGAGCTATCCTCCCGGATCCCGGACGATTGGAGCCTCTCCAGCGACCTCATGATGGTGTTCCATTGAGCGCAATGGCTGATCCCGCGGACATGGAGCACGGCGAGGAGAGGTATGGATCTCCAAGCTTCAATCTCTTGAGTCTGAATAGCGATGCGAGTAGGTCGAGGAATTGCACTGACCCTAGTGTATTTTTTTGCGAGTTGTTTGTTTGCTGCTAGGGTTCGGTTGTTCTCCTTAGAGATTAAAGTTGAAGGTTTCTGTACTACAGACAGTAATGGTAGGAAAGTTTACACGAAGGGTAGTGTGATTAAATGGGATGTGGAGGTAGGATCGTTCACTTTTGAGTTGCTGATGCAAAGCTTGACCAATCAGTTCAAATGGTCCCCTACCCAGAGTCCTTGTGTGTGGTTGTTTGATAAAAGGATGTGTGAAGACGTCAGACTAGTTAATGACTTTCAGCTAAATGATGTGTTTGAAATGTATAAGGATTAGATGCATTACCAATTTGTTGTAGGAGTTTTTGAAAGAAAAGTTACAGATGTTGATGAG